ATGGAAAAGGAATATAATAACACGCTACCTTTCCTGGATGTTTTGATCTCTAAGAACGATACTGGATATGAGACTCAGGTGTATAGAAAACCAACACACACAAATAGATATTTAAATTTCAAATCAAATCACAATATTAATGTAAAAAAAGGGAATAATTAAATCCTTACACGATAGAGCCAAAATTACTTGTTCTAACGAAAATTCGTTCTTGGAGGAGAAACATTTGTTTACATCTGTTTTATTAAAAAATGATTATCCTTTATCGTTTATAAATAAGGAATTTTCAACAATCGATCGAATAGAACAGAACAACTTAGAACGAGATCCTACAGCATACACAAGGAATAATATGAGGAAAATAACAATACCGTACATAAAAGGATTATCAGAAAAACTTAAAAGGATAGGAAATAAATTCAACATTTCAACAACATTCAAAACAACAAACACGTTGAGATCTATTTTGTCCAAAACCAAACCTAACAATGAACAAGAAAGGACAAAGAATTGCATTTATAAAATACCTTGTGAATGCGATCAGTTTTATTTAGGTGAATCATCAAGGTCATTAAATGTTAGAATAAGTGAACATCGATCTTATATTAAAAATAGAGAATTTGATAGATCTCAAATATGTAAACACGCATGGGATAATGAACATAGAGTTCAATGGAATAATTCAAATATAGTCCTAAAAGAAACGGATGGTAAAAAAAGAAAAATCAAAGAAGCGGCTCTAATTATGCTAAATGAGGCCAATTGTGTCGCAAATTCCTCGGCAGAATGTAGTAGGATCTGGTTACCAATATTGAAAGAGGAAGTTATTAATAAGAAAATACCAGTATTAGTAAGTCAGTAACATATACAGGATACATCATTTATGTTTTTTAAATAACGTAACATAAAATCAGAATTTTGATGTTTGTTGAAGGTAAACTAAATTCACGAACAAATACTTACAATGTCGGGATAGTATTATGAGGTTTTTTTCCTGGTTTTTCCCTCATAATTTACTATGGAATCACTAACAGGAGAATTTTACTGTCATCATGTCATGTGTTTGTCTTTTTAAAGACGAATTACATGCTATGATTTTTTCTGACGGATATTCTCAAGTTAAAGTTGATTTCATGAAATCGAATGAACTATCTTATAAGTAAAGTCGTCCCAGGAGCGCAACTCAACAATATTGGCAAGAATTTTTTCACTATGTAACAAAAAACAAAATTTGTTTAATTTACTATTTGTATTTTGAGAACGATTTCCGAATTGGAAATTGAAACGTCAATAAACGTATTTTTATCTTTAATTGTGGCTTATTCCCAGTTATAAATAGTAATTAATTTACAATGCCACAAGAAAATAGCTTCAGAACAATATTCAAAATAAAGTTGTACTTTTGAAAATATTTTATTAAACGACACCTAGTGTCCAAATACTTATGACACAGTCCATAGCCTTTGTTAGCTGATAAAAAAATAATAAATACAATACATTGTTATTAAAAATAATGATTTTATATAAAGAAAACCAAAAAACTTGTTAGAAGTTAAAAAAAATAATTCCGGCGTCAAAGGGTTAAAATTTACAATAATACTAAACTTAAACAAATAAACACCTTTTTTGCTTTTATTTTGACACATTTTTGTTAATTTTAAAATTGATAAAAATTTTTACATTATTTAGAAACAATGTCTCAAATAAATAGCTATATTACGTTGATATCAAATCATCTTTTAATTTCTCATTACCTTATAGATTAAAAAAAAATCTATCTTCTGAAACTTACGTGTCTGTGGATTTGAAACTAGCAATTACGTGCTTTCTTGAAAAATGGCGAGAACAAAAATAAACGATCAGGAAGTATTCTGTTGCAGCTCGCTAGCTATAGAGCCGAGAATCGATACGGTTTGGAATAATACCAGAAATGATTTTGAGCCCGTTAACTTAGCTGAGATAATCTGATACTTTATTATCGGTATTACGACTTCTAAGCATAAAATTTGCCATGATAGGTATATACAATACGTATAGTATTACAGTCATGTCCTGTCTATTAATATGATAATGAGGTAAAATAATTGAAGACTACTTAAAATTATTTAGGAAAAAGCATTTTTTAAGACTACCTCAATCAAAAAATTGGTTGAGAATAAGCGTGATGTGGTTTTAATTTTTTCTGTTCAAACTGTTACTAATTTGAGAATAGTTAAAGCTCGTTTGGAGTTAACTAAAATGGGCTAAAACGGCAAAGAAAAATGTCGTCAATTTAATACAAAGAGCACATTAGTTTTTTTACTTTACTTTAAACATACTGAAAACTTTGTGAATTCATGCCTTAAAGAATTCGCGTTGAACTGAAGATGTTAAAAAATATTTGTTCCACCGATGAATGTACTTTTATGTTAAATGGTAATGTAATTAAACAAAACTGTCGGTACTGGAGTGATGTAAAACCGCATCGATTCAGAGAAGATCACACTTAATATCCTGAAATACTGAATGTTTGGGCAGGAATATTAAATGATGCTATAATTGGCCTCTTGTTCATACCAGGCATTTTAAGTGGCGACATTTATCTCAATATGCTGGAAAACACCGTCGAACTTTTAATTGTGCATAAATTAGATAACTGAAGGGACTATTAAGGCAATCAAGATCTAGAAGAACATTTACTGCACTTTCAATAAGATGGAGCACCTCCTCACTATACAGCTCCAGTTAGTCACTGATTGGATACTAATTATCCAAACAAATAGATTGGAAGGAGAGGTCCTATTGAGTGGCCACCGAGGTCACCAGATTTGCCACCAATTGACTTTTTTTCTATGGGGTTACCTCAAATAAGTTGTTTATGTCTCGCTATTACTAGAACAACACTTGCCAAAGTTCGTGCAGAATTTAAAAATAGGCTGTAATATTGTTTACAAAATAACGAAACCCACTTTAAACATTTAGTAAAATGACATTTTTAACAAATTTGTAGTTTAACAAAAACCTTATTATATTTTCCATTTAGCCAAAGTTTCATAATTATTGCTTCACCCTGTATAATTATTATTTATACCATTGGATAAATTGGATCGAAGAAGCAGATAACACCCTAGCAAATCGAAATGAATGGAATCCTTTCAACCCAAACGAAAGACCACCTACCATCGAAAACGTTGCCCAAGCCATTAAAAAGCTTAAAAATAATAAATCACCAGGAGTTGATCAAATTTGCAGTGAACTCTACAAGAATGGTGGCGATGCCCTACTACAGACACTGCATAAGCTTTTACTTCTTGTTTTGCATAATGAGACCATGCGTTGTGAATGGTCTCAAGGCGTGATATGCCCGTTACATAAAAAAGGTGACCAGCTCCAGTGTGACAACTATAGAGGTATAACTCTGTTAACAACTGCTTACAAAATACTAGCAAATATTCTCTACGAAAGGTTGCAAGTTTACACAGTGGGCATAGTTGGTAAATGTCAAGTTGGATTCACTCCAGAAAAATCAACAATTGACCAGATTAATTCAATAAGACAGATTCTCGAGAAAACATTAGAATTCAATAGGGCATACTATGGACTGCAAAAGCATTTCCACTCAAGAAACATTCAAAGAAGAACTAAAATTGTTATATACAAAACATTGCTGAGGCCGGTCCTCACATATGGAGCAGAAACATGGACACTAACGCAGAAAGATGAAAGACTTTTGGAATATTTGAGCGTAAAATACGCCGCAAAATATTTGGAGCTGTAAACGACCAAGGGCAGTGGCGCAGAAGATATAATTTTGAATTGTATCAGCTCTTTGATGAGCCAGATGTCATAACGTTCATTAAAACAGCGACTTAGATGGGCTGGACACATAATACGAATGCCAGAAAATACATTGCTAAAAAGCTAATCACAGGAACACCTGTAGGAAAAAGAAGCAAAGGCCGACCGCGAATTAGGTGGTTAGATGGAGTAGAAAACCGACTTACGAATATTAAAAATCAGAAGATGGCAACATGTTGCCAAAAACCGAACAGAATGGCGACGAATCTTAGAGCAGGCCAAGATCCACAGAGGATTGTCGAGCCAAAGATGATGATGACCATTGGATAAAATTTTTTATAGTCTTTGCAATGTATCACAGGTATTATAGGGGTTTGTATTTAGGTCGTTAATCACTAAACGAGGTTATGTGACATATCCTTTACATTTTTAGTACATTGGAAACTCAATCCACAGCCCTCTAAATATTACTTATATATTTTTGTAAGCTTTGTCCATAAAATCGTACAATTTTCAGTGACAATAAAAAGCATATTTCTATTCTATTCTCTGTGCGTCTCTGCATACGTTACTTACTTTGACTTTTAATGTCATATTTACTAATTAATTTTTTTTAATTTAATGTTTTACTAATTTTAGTGGGATGTTTTTTGAAAACAAATATTGTCGGCTTAATTTTGCCGGCGGATAAACAAAAATATTGTCGGCAGACGAAACTTATGAACGACATTCTCTATCAAGAATCTTATAAGACTTATATCAATTTTTCATACTATTTCATTTCATACAGAAACAGAAAAATAAACTATAAATTATAAGACAATATTTGCTATTTATCAAGCGAACTGTTACAAAAAGAAACAATGTCAGTACAAACAAGTTTTAAACTAAAACAAAAAAAGATATTTGGTTAAAACCAAATGTTGTTTTAATTTTAACAGGAATTACACAACAATCAAACAAGAATCATTGTTTAATACAAGAAGTTTAACATTGTTACTTTCAAGTGGCAGAATCTTTTTATATATTGCATCAAAAAAATATTTTTCCACACGATTCTTAGTCTTAACTAATATATTCGTCTAAATTTCGATCATTTTATTGCTTATACGATGAAAACAAAAATATTTGGGTACTGTTTTATATAAAATACATGTTTTAACAAACTGTTTAGAAAAATAAAAGAGTTTCAGTAAAATTAATGCAGTATATATTTGTTTCAGCTTTCGGTATTGGAAGTATGGTCTACTCAGGTTTAGAATTTGGTCGATATTTCGAGCTCAAGAATAATCCTGAATGCAATTCAAATATCCTTCAAGCCCTAACTCCTGTTACTCGGATGGTCCTTACGTTAGTTCAAGTTCAGTTTATATTTCTAAACAGTAAGGTATTTATCAAAACGGTTTTTTAATATTGTTAAAGTTAGTATTGCCTTGAAATTTACTGAAATCTCAACAAGTATTAAATAACTATTTGAAATTGGTAACTTTGTAAAGGAATGTACTATGGAATGTAATAACCTATGGACCAAAAGATCTAAATAGAACATTTTACAAACCAAATGTTTGTAATAAATAAATTGATAAACAGGGAAGGCTTAAAAAAATGAAAATTAACGAGTAAAAACTTAACGCGCAATAAATAATATCATTTTTGTTATATATTAATATTACTGGCTTTTTCCTCGCCTTACTAAATTTTTCGTATAAACTTTGTTTTTATTTTGTCGTTCCTACAAAATTTTTATTTTTTATGCGTTCCAAAAGGGGAGTGTGTAATGGTTATATTGAGTTATATAGATCACGACATTGTTTAATTGACCATACAACACAATGGCAATCGCTGGACATGTTACACGTTTCCACCTCTATATTTATTTCACAGTAGGTACGAATTGTCATAATTGTCACATTGACATTAGAAATTTCAAACGAAGTTCTGAAAGAATAAACAAATAATTAATAAAATGCCTATTACGTTGTATACCGTCCAAGAAAAAGCCTTTTAGGGTAATTCGATACGCGAAGTAATTGATTTATTTAATATTGCCTTGAACATAGACCCCCATTAAGTGTTACAACAGTTTAAAAATACCATTAAACATTTTCAAACTTCGGGTTGTGTACATAGTTGTAAAAAGTATCACAAAGGTAATGAACCACGTGTTAGACCTGTCGATAAGGAGCGTCAAAACAGGAATATTGATATTTGTGCTTTTGTGGAAGCTAGTGAAGCCTGAAAAATAGGTAGAGCAATTCAATGAGTTGTGATCTTCTTCTTCTTCAAGGTTCCACTCCTATCGGAGATTGGAAATCATTCTGGCAATTATAATTTCATTGGTTACTCGCCTGAATAGTTCAATTGAACTGCATCCAAACCATTCACGGAGATTGCGTAGCCACGAGATTTTACGTCTTCCTACGCTTCTTCTACCTTTGATTTTACCCTGCATTATATTCCTTATTAGTCCGTACTTTTCACCTCTTATGATGTGCCCCAAGTATTCCAATTTCCTGATTTTTATGGAATTTAAAACTTCGCATTGTTTTCCTAGTTGTTCGAGAACTTGTTTGTTTGTTTTGCGATCCATCCATGATATTTTCAAAATACATCGGTAACACCACATTTCCAATGCTTCTAGATTTTTAATGTTGGATTTTTTAAGTGTCCAAGCTTCAACTCCATACAAAAGGGTAGAGAAAATATAACATCGAAGCATTCTTAGCCGGAGCGATATATTGATATCGCGATTACAAAAAAGTTTTCTCATTCTATTAAAAGTTGACCGCGAAATTTCAATGCGGCATCTCATTTCTTTTGTCTGATCAGTATCTTCTGTGATCCATGCTCCAAGGTATTTGTACGAAGATATTCGTTCAATTTCTGTATTATCTAGTACTAGCTTAACTTTGATGTTTTGTGCTTTTGTAAATACCATGAACTTGGTTTTCTTCAAATTGATTTTTAGTCCATAATCGTTGCGATATATATTTAGTTGTTCAGCAAGGTGTTGCAGTTCTTCTAGTGTTCCTGCCAGAAGGACGGTGTCGTCAGCATATCTTATGTTATTAAGTGGCTCACCGTTTATTATAAGGCCCTCACTGATCTCGGCAAGCGCTAATTCTGAGATGGCTTCTCTGTATAAATTGAATAACAAGGATGATAAAATACACCCTTGGCGGACCCCACGGCGAATCTGGATATCCTTGGTCAGTTCGTTTTCAACTTTCACTTTTGCTGTTTGATTCCAATAGAGGTTACAGATGATTCTAATGTCTCTACTGTCTATGTTTTTATTTAATAAAATTTTTTTAAGTTGATTATGCTACACTCTGTCAAATGCCTTCTCAAAATCAATTAAACAGGCATATACTTCCTGGTAATATCTAAGCATCTCTGCGAAAGAACACTTACTGCAAACAGTGCATCTCGTATTCCCAGTCTTTTCCTAAATCCCATTTGTGTATTACTTATGCCTTCATCTAATTTTTTATGTATTCTATTGCGCATTACTTTTAAAAACAATTTCAAGACATGACTCATTAGGGCTATGGTGCGATGTTCATTGCACTCTTTTGCATTGGCTTTTTTGGGAAGCAGTATGAATGTTGATTGGAGCCATTCTTTAGGTATTATACCTGTTCTATATATGGTATTGAATAGATCCAAAAGAAGATTAATAGATTCAGTATTCACAATTTTAAGCAATTCGATAGGAACTTCATCAGGCCCGGGAGATTTACCACCTTTAGCTTGTTTCATTGCATATTCAATTTCTTCTCGTATAATGTCAGGCCCAGTATCATCCTTAAATTCTTTTGGTGCTTCTGTTCTCTCTTTGTCTTCAAAAAGTTGTGCTATATATTGTGCCCATCTTTGCATTTGTTGGTTTATATCTGTTATAAGTGCACCCCTTTCATCTCTTAGTTGCCTAGTTTGAAGTGTTTTTCTCATTCCTGTTAATTCTCTGTTCATGATAAATTCACTTAATTCACTTGAGTTGTGATAAATTTACTTAAATAAATTAAAAAACGGACAACAGTTATTAATAAGAGGGGTGACTTGTATGCAAAAAAAGGTAAAGCGAAAAGCGGTGAATTAATTGGTGATTTTGGTGTAGGGAAGAGAAATAAAAGGAGATAATGATTAAAACTATTTGTAGAAGAAGAAAAATTTACAATACTAAATACGTTCCTCAGATTACAACCAAAATGTTTATATACTTGGGTCTATATGCAAGATTAACCAGGAAACATAAAAAGGAATCAAATTGATTACATAGTGGTGAATAAGAGATTCCATAAAGGATGCCTATCAGTTAAAAGTTATCCCGGTGCTGACGTATCGTCAGATCATATTCTTATTATTGTTAAATTTAGGTTTATATTTATAAAAGGTTACAAAAGAAAAGTAAAAAAATGTGATATTAGAACCCTAAAAGATAAGGAAACAAAGGAGACAGTCACACTGATTCTTTCAGAAAAGCTAAGTAACATGGAGCAAACATATGATCTAGAAGAATCACTTCAGAATAAATGTAAAACCTTCAACAAAATCAGAGAAGAACATCTAATAGAAAATAAAGAGAAAATGAAAAATTTAATGGACTACAACTCATGAAAGAAATAAGAAAATCATAGAATAACAAAAGAATGTACATAAATATTCAAAGACAAATAAGAACCGAAATACGAAAGCCCTAAGAAAATTGGTGAAAAACACAGTGTGAAGAGATAGAGTATTGGAACAAAAACACGATACACGTAGCATTCATAGCAAGGTAAAATAAGCTGCTGGTCTTCAAAAATACAACATAGCTAGCAAACTGCAAGATCGACAGAGGAACATCATCACAGATAAAAATCAAGAAATATTCATGTGGGCCAAATACATACAAGACCTCTTTGATATAATGGAATCGCTCCTATTAGAGGTAGGCTTGGGGGTGAAAAATTATCAGGTTTGTAATAAATTAGTGAAACATGAGTGAAAAAATATGCCATAGGCAAAAATTTTTTTTTTTGATTTTGCTAAGTTGAACCTTAAGCCAGCAGAATCGCTCCAGTTAAGGGTAGTTTGGTATAGGTTAAATTGGATTCCGCTCATGTGTCCCCGCTAGCTTAAGGGTCCAGTTTTATAGAGATGTTTTCTATGTTCTATTTTAACAATTGTATTATTTTTTAGGATATTGACTTTAATAAGCACAAACTTGTAGCCAGATTCGGTATAATGCATATGATAGCTACTAACTTATCGGAATGGTTGTATGTTCTGGTTGAGGAGACCAAACACGAAATTGTTCATTTATCAGGTATATAATTTTATCATAGCTTTTATTCAAGATTTTATGATGTAAAATATTCTTTCTATTTTAATTTAAAAAATTAATTTTTACAATTGCCAGAGAATATGAATTACACATAATCGCAAACTTGGAGCCTTTCGTTTACAGGTAAAACAGCGATATTCCCTAACCGAGAGACAACATTCTTTATTAATTTATTTGTTTTTGAATTGATATTGAGCCTATTGTCTAATCTGTGCTATTGTGTCGTATTTTTCTTTTATTATTTATTTAGTTTATTTTATAAGCGTGCTTGAGTTTTTACTCGCGGGTAATTATTCAGATTTTAAAAATTGGAAGTAGTAATAATGTATAAAAACACGTTCAAAGAATTTAAAAAAACGAGAGTTTATTAACAAATCACGTCTTTATAGAAAAATTAAAATACAATTTTATTTGCTTTAAAATTAATACAATAAAATATAGTTGAATTCAAGTTAATTTTTAATAGGTATCAAAATAATGCTACAATAAAAAATCTTTATGTTTTCTTCTAAATTTGCTACCAAAATAGTTCGATCTTCAATATTATTTGGAAACCTTCATGGAAAAATAAATGAGTTTTATTCATTTTATTTGCATCCATAAGAAATATTTAATTAAAAAGGTAATAAGCAGATCTTTTTTAATCACATGATGTCTACTTACAATTTAAAAATGTCTACTAATTTCATGAACTTATATCTTATTCAATACATTAATGAACATGAATAAACCCAATGGTACGCCTATTAAAATGTACACAAACATGCTTCCTCATTTTCTCATCTTAAATAATGTAAATATTTCGTTTATTTTATTTCACTTTTCACAAATATCACTCAAAATACAGCCAAAATATCGAAAAACAACTTTTACTGAAAAGTAAACAAACATGGAACAGCATTTGAAGTTTGACGTAGATCCATAAGACAGAGAAATGTAAACAACCGTTGCCATTTATAAATAGTTTTCAGTGCTTCTACATATAAAATAATTGATTGATCTATTATACGCTATTATTAAATGATAATGCACACTATGTGCACACTTTATATTTTGATTACAATTAAATATATTAATCTAACCAATTATTTTGGTTTGATAACAGCTGTATAGTATAAAATACGGAGTAATATTTTCAGCGACTCGCGAATAAGAAATTTTAAAACAAAACGTGACAACAGTTGAAGGTGCTGAGAATGTGACCTATTCAAATAATTTTGACTACACAATTTTATGTAAATAACTGAGTCCATCTGTGTTTATACGTTCATGGTTAAAACTGTATGCACTATTCACAATATATTATAATATTGCAAAAATTATGAGTTTTTAATAAAATACAGGGTGTTTTACTTGAAATACCTATCTTTATTTTTGCACTGTGCTAGTAGTAACCACTTCTGTTTATTGTAATAAATTTATTAGATTAAAGCCTAAATCTATCTAAAAATTGTGGAAATTAATTTTTTACTATAAAATTTGATTGTAAATGATTTGATTTGTAAAAGTTTCATACTACATAGCTTAAATATAATTTTTTTAATCATAATTTAATAATAATATTCTTATTGAATATTGTCTATTTTTAGAACATCGAAATACAGGTAATATTTCGCTTAACAAAAAATTCTGCCAAGAGGGACTTGTGATGAGCTCGTTAGTGGCCAATGCCAGTCCTTTTTTATTCCCCTGTACCATTGAATACAGTCTAATCTGTGCCGTAATACTCTTTGAAATGTGGAAAAGAGTCAAGATGACCGAAAAAGGAAAAGACGGAGAAAAGGATAAAAATGTCCGGTTTGATACGGGGAACCAAAAAGTTGCAACGCATTTTCAGTTTAGTAAGTTTACCCAAAAACTAGATATTCTATATTTACAATAGTTTGTAGATTTTATATTATTTTTGCATATATTTTTTAAAATAAATATATTTCTTTTACAAAATATTAAAATTGGGCTATATTTTATTTCGTAAAATTCATATATATTTATTATCGCTTTTTGGTGTTTGTAAGCGTACCTATTATTTTTTTTGTGGCAATTGCCTAGACTTCAATTTCCATATTTAGTAGTATCACAAAAATATTTGTCTTAATATCTGTTAATTTCATATTTCTATTAAAATTAGTATCTTTACAATATTCTTAGGAAAGTGAAGTAATTTTTACTTTTTCATGGTTCTTACATTTTATCTGAGATGTTAGAAGTAAAAAGTATTTGATCAAGAAAGATTTGTTTAAGAATTTGTCAATATTGTTTTTATGATAGTATCTTCTTCTTTTTCTGCTAGTGCCTATCCTCTTTGGATGTTGGCTACCACAATGGCCCATCGTATTTTATTAACAGCTGTTCGAAATGGGTCTGTGGTGGTTATACCTGTCCACGACAGGATATTCGGCGGCGTCCTGGTCCTCTATTTCCTCTATTTCCCTTTTAATATCAATAGTAGGATTCTGTATTTATTTTCATTTCTCACTATATGTCCGAGGTATGCTAACTTTCTCTCTTTAATCGATTTCAAGACTTTTTTTGTAAACGTTGCATTACTGCATCGTTAGATATATGATGTACATATATTCTAAGCATGCGACGATAGCACCACATCTCGAAAGACTGCAACCGTCTGCAAGACGCATCAGAGAGTGTCCATGCCTCTGCTCCATACATAAGAATAGAAAACACATAACAATTAAGGATTTTGAGTCGAAGATGTAAGTTCAAGGTTAAATTGCAGAGAACTTTCTTCATCTGTTGGAAGGCACTCATTGCTTTTTCGATCCTACATTTAATCTCGAATGAGTGATCCCAGCTGTCTGTGATGTTGCATCCTAGATATGTTATTTTTTCTGTTCTATTCAATACCTCATTGGCTGCCATAAACTTTGCATGTGTATCTTGGTTTTTGCTTATGATCATAATTTTCGTCTTCTTATTATTAAGTTTCATTCCATATTTTCTATCGGTATAAACTACGTGATCTATCAGTCTTTGTAATCCTTCAGCACTATCCGCAACAAGAACAGTGTCGTCTGCATATCTTAGATTATTTATTACTTTGGCCATTTATTATGGAATAATTGGCCATTATTCTTATATCCTTGTCATTGATGTTTGCGATTCGTTTCAAGTTTCAATAAGCCTCTCATGCTTTACTTTGTTAAATGCCTTTTCGAAGTCAATGAAATAGGCAAAGACATCTGTATTAACATCTCTTGCTCGTTGTATCAATACTTGTATGCTAAAAAGTGCTTCTCTTGTGCCAACAGGGCTGCGAAATCCAAATTGTACATCAGCAATAGCCTCCTCCAATTTCTTGTATATGCGAGGATGGATGATGTTTAAGAATATTTTGAGTAAGTGGTTTATGAGGCTAATGATTCGGTGTTCTTCACATTTCTTAGTATTTGCTTTTTTTGGCAGTGGCATAAATATAGACATGTACCAATCTTTTGGTAAAGTTCCTGTTTCATATATACGGTTAAATAATTCTGCCATAATGTCAAGTTGATTGTCTTCTATCAATTTCAATACCTCAGCATATATTCCATTAGGTCCTGGCGCTTTGTTGTTTTTTAGACGACCTATAGCAGATCTTATTTCTGATTTTGTTATTGTTGGTCCATTCTCGACGTTGTCATATACTTCAATGTGTTGGTTGTCACTCAACAGTTCTGCTATATATTCCTGGTATCTGTCCAGTTTTTCTTGCTTATTGAATAGTATGTTTTCATCTTTATTCTTTGATCTTCCTGTGCTTATTAAATATATCATGTTTTTTCTGTAGGATCTCTATTTCTAAGCATTTCTCTAACATCCAGGATTCTTTTGCTAATTTTATTTCTTTAAGTACCTTTTTGTGGTGTTCCTTGTACTTTTCTGCGTCTTTATTCTTAAACTTTTTTCTCTGCTGCATAAGCTTGTTGCTTTACGTTGTATTTGTTGTTTTATGTTGCTTTGTTTCAGTTTTTGTATGTCCACCGTTCTTACAACGCCCGACTTTCGAGTTTTTTCATCCTTACTATCAGTTCAGAATGCAATAAGTTATGGTCGGAGTTGATATTTGGTCCAATAAAGGTTTTTATTGCAGTAACCGCATTACGAAACCTTTTATTTATTAGAAAATAATCTATTGGATTTCTGATTATTTGTTGCGGGCTATCGGCGGGAGACCTCCAGGTATGTAGCCTTCTAGCTGGTAGTTTGAATTGGCTCTTTATGATTATATTATCTAAGACTTGACAAAATTGTATCAGTCGTATGCCCTTTTTATTCCGTATACCCAATCCATACTCTCCTATTATGCCTTCCACTGTACCCTTTCCAATTTTGGCATTAAAGTCTCCCATGATTATACTGACTTCTTCTTTTTTCATATTTTTCGCTGCATTCCTTAATTCTTCATAGAAATATTCAACCTCCTGCTCTGAGCTATCCGATGTCGGAGCATAAATTTGTAAAATATTAAGGTTGTTTGGTCTTGCATCTATTCTACCTACAACCGCATCATTCCATTCTTTCGTAATAATAATTGCAACGCCATTTCTATTATTTGTTGTGTTATCACCTGAATAGTATATGTGATGCTCGTCTGATTCGATTTTGCCGTTGTTCGGTCATCTAACTTCGCTGCACCCTAATACATCTATATTAAGTCGTCTCATTTCTTTTATGATGTTGGCCATTTTTCCTGGCCTTAACATACTTCGGACGTTCCAGGTTCCAATTCTCTTTGTTGCATTTGCTAATATTTTGTTCCTCCGGGGGATTCTTAGCACCCTCTCTCCATTGAAGGAGTGCCCGGCACTAAGTGCAAATTCTGTGTTTGTACTGTCCATTATAATTTTAGCAAGGATGCTCTGTTAAGCCTTTATTGCAGTGGTTTCCCATTGCCTTCTGCATTCCAATACCGTTGAATAATTCAAATTAGTTCTTCCGCCTTTGGAGCCAATTTCTCAACTCCAGGGCAATAAAGTGCCCTACTACTTGTCAGCTCTTCCTCCCTAAGCTGTTGACCAAGTGAGAGATTACTTATTCCGGTAATCATTCGGTGAAATTTTCGCCATATCTGGGTACCCTCACTTAGTTTAGCCTGCAGACCAATGCAGTTGCATCTACCTACTACTAATTTTCATAATTTTGGATACTACTACTATTTTGAATTGTGTAGAATACTGGACCTCAATAAATTAGAATCTAGTAGTTCAGTGTACTTTGGTAAAAATATGTTTTCATGAACACATCGATTTTGATAAAATTTTGGAAGTAACCTCTATTTGCCTTTACCAACTTTGCCAACTTTAAAATCTACTCTATTTCAATACGTGCATATTATTTTGAGAAGTAAAAACCATCCTTTATTTCAGAAACTCAACAAAATTATAACTTAAAGTCGTTGATAAGTAGAAAAACATTTATGTTCACACAAGGTTTGATACCGATAACATAGGCCGACATGATTTTTGGTCTGTGTTTGATATTTGTCCTTAGCTAATAATTATACGCTGATTCTAAATATGAATTCCGGTTAAGCCCATCACGTTAAAATTTTTCACGAAATTATAAAAACATTGTGAGATATAATGTACTATCGCAATCAAATACTTTATTGATATTTCGTAAACTGCAAATTTTTTAATACATTATTATGTTAGAATATTATATATTATATTATGTTCCAATTTCATTAGAATCGCAACACTCCCCATCACGTTAAATTTTTTTATAAAATTGAAAAAAACCGTGTGAGATATTATATACTATGAAATAGCGCAAACAAGTACCTTATTGATATTTCGTAAATTACATTATAATTGTTTCTTTAAAATACTTATATTTCGATAATTAAAAATATTTTAATACATTACGTTAATTTTATTTGAATTGTAACACTGCCGATAAGTCAACTTAATGGCATCCGCAGTTGTGTGTATTGCGTAAATGGTGTTAGCTTAAGTTGCTTGTAGCATCGAGTTGTATATTGTTTCATAAGTGTTTATCACTCCATAATGTCATCAACAAAGTGTAAGAACAGTACTGATATATTTTGTTACGTGTGTGGTGATTTAACAATAGAAAAGCATCAACGAAACATAATATACTTTATAGAGAAAGCTTATCACGATTACTTCGGTGTAAAGCTTGGTGATTAGGACAAACCTTGGGCTCTACGCAAAGTGTGCTTTTAGTTTGTCGAACTACTAAAAAAATGGATAAAAGGTCCACCTAACTCTTTATTCTTTGACAATTCTATGGTATGGAGAGAACCAAAAAACCATGAAAATTCAGACGAAAAAAAATCATGAAAATTCAGACGAAATCACCGATAAAGGGACAGTGAGAGACTTGGGCCTATCGAAGGATTCTGCACAAATCTTAGGATCACGACTGAAAGATAAAAATCCATTGGTCCCAGCTACCACATGTTCGTGGTATAGGCATCGTAAAAAAGAGTTCAACGAATATTTTTTTCAAGCTGGCTCACTGGTGTATTGTCATAATATTTCTGAAGTAGTCATGAAGCTGGGAGTTGCCAACTATGATTCCACATCATGGTGGTTATTTATTGATTCTTCTAAGAGAAGTCTGAAGGATTTCTTGTTACACAATGGTAATAATTATGTCTCGGTGATGAGAATCTTTAGCTGTTGCTAAATAAAATAAAGTATAACGAATATTGCTGGCAACTCTGTGGATATCTCAAAATAATATTCATGCTTTTGTGTCAGCAGTCTGCATCACAATGTATCCATGTTTTTTATGCGAGTGAGACAGTCTATCACGAAATTTACATTACGTTAAGAAAGAGTGACCAATTAAGGAAAGACTTGTACCGGAACAAAAAAATGTGCAACATGATATACTAGTTGACCCAAAATTAGTTCCTTTGCCTCCTCTTCACTTTGCGTAAGAATTCATAAAGCAGTTTGCCAAAGCTTAAGATAAACAAGGTGACTGCTTTAAATATCTGTGCAACAAATTTCCTGCATTTTATGAACCTAAACTTAAAGAAGCAATTTTTGTAGGCCCTCAAATTTGAACGTCAAAATCCGACCGATTGATTTAGAATACAATAACCCAGAATAAATCTGAAGCATGGAGTTCTTTCGTAGAAGTCATAGACGGTTTCCTTGGAAACAACAAGTCTCCTAACTATAAAGAAATTGTAACCAACATGGTCGAAAATTATAAAAATTTGGGATGCAATAGGAGCGTTAAACTTCATTTTCTGGATTTCCACGTTGACTATTTTTCCGAAAATCTTGGAGCTGTCAGCGATGAGCAGGGAGAGAGGTTTCATTAAGATAATAAGGATATAGGAGTACGTTACCAAGCAAGATGGGATATAAGAATAATGGCTGATTACTGCTGGACCTTGAAGAGAGTCTCGACCACAAAAATTCATAAAAAGAAGACCACAAAGGCAGTTTTCATGGAAAGAGAGAACGGTTTTATTAAAAAAAAAAACAAATATTGTCTAACGTAGGTTATACTGAATTGTTATTTTAAGAACAACTTAATTTTGAAGTGTAATATTGTATTAAATAAAGTTTCAATAAATATTTTGTCAAAATTTTGGGCAGTTTGTATGAAAAATTTTAAACACGCTTTTCTTGAAAACCTGACATGCTGAAAAAAAAATAAGTACAGATTCGTGATCAGCACATCCCATTTACTATAGGATACTTAACTTTTTTTATAAAAAACAAATTGTAGGCCTGTGTAACGTATCATATCTACTAATAACTTATGATTTTTCAATCCTGTTTGATTTATTTTAACCCCTATAAAACTTCGCCTGTTAATTTAAACATAAAAAAATCAATTTAGTGCATTGACAATGTAAAAAAATTATCATTTATTACGAAAAAATTGAAAAAAATCATTTTCGGTCATATTTATAAATGATCTTAATATCTATATCAATTATATCAACCTATCTTTAATTTATTTACATTTTGGTAATCTTAATTAGAAGATGGATCACAAGGTAAATTGCAAAAAGACCAATTTTAGGCAGTTAAATGATGCACCGCATCCTTTTTTGAGTTGCAAAATATCATTTGCAAGAGTTATTGTGGTTACAAACTATATTCAAGTCTGATGGGTTACAATGATCCTTTAAAGTCCTTCAAGCAGATCCCAAATAGTAGAATCTATTTATATTATCATTCAGAGCTGCCACTATAGGTACAACGGATGATCATTTGACGGCATTGATTTTAAGGCAGTGGTTGTCTTAATGAATGACTCAGATTGTATTTGTTTCAAAAATACTTGCAATACTTTTTTACTTGTGTTTGTACAGCAGTCCCGTATAAAATGAATAAACAGTACCTACCATCTTCTAGAATTTTCTCTGTTTTGAAGGCACTACTATAAAATTATCTGCCTGTTATCTTAAATTCGGCCTTTTTCCATAAGTTCAAAAAATTTCTTTTTATCATTATTTTAAAATGCTATCGTTGTATCATGGCCCATGAACGAATGCAAAAAAACTAACAATTTTGGACTGCTTGGATCTCAGACAAGGAAAGAGAGAGGACATGTAATGCTCATTTATTAAACCTTCGCAAAGTGAAGCCAGTTTCTATGTGACCGCCATGTTTTGGTGCCTGTACGTTGTCCATTACTACCTCTGGCAGTGTTACCAGATCTACTAATTTTTAATTTTTTTAATTTTTCAGAAACACTATATTGATCTCCTAAAAACATGTAATGTTAAATTCATAATTAGAAAGTGATATTGTTAGAATTGTTCTACGAATTAAACGTACTCCAAAATTTTGCAAAAATAAAATTCATTTTTCAGGTCACCTCTTAAGTCAGGACACACGTGGTACTTGAATGTGGATGACATGTTTCGTATTGTCATATTGATGTTTCTGATATTTGACTATATTTGAATTGTTAATATTTTTATTTTATGATTAAATTATAAACAGCAAATTTTCACAAAATAAAATTATACAAACAAACAAGTGTCATCATACCTATGTTTTATTTTGTTGTTAACAAAAGTTATAAAGTTCCGGATTTTGGTTTGTTAATGTCATGGAAAACAGATATAGTCATTAAATATTAAATAAAAAGTTTCATGTACTGTATACTATATTTTTCTACAGAGAAAATATATTTTTTGGCATAGAATAAGATTTCATTTCGTATTTTATGAGTATATTTATTTTTCACTTAGAGCGTTCTTTTTGAATTTGCCGCCTTAAATTCAGAAGTTACGTTTTGAATTTGCCGCCAAATGAAATTAGTTTCGGCCCGTCTACATTTGCCTCTAGAAACTCTCCCCCAAAACTTTCTATGGGACTTACCTTAATAGGGGGGTATACAGATTGAACGAAATAAATTCGGAACATACGAAATATTATGTATTTCGGCTCAATTATGCTGTCAAACCACTTATAGTCCAGGAAATGAAGCATTTCACCTCGCAATTTTTTTCGTCCTGCGTGGATTGACTTAAAACTTTAACAGAAGGTATGTAATAGACTAAGGATCAAAATCTATATCGAACCAAAGTGCGCCAAAGCCTTGGGGGTGGTTGCCACCCCATCTCGGGGGTGAATTTTTTTTTTACGTTTTAACTACAGGTTTCGATTAAAAAAGTAATTCTAAACAAAAAATGTTTTATACATTTTTTTTGTAAAACTGATATTTTTCAAGTTACTCGCGATTGAAAGTAACAACTTTTAGACGAAAAAATCCACGTTTTTAATCGATTTTTGGCGAATAACTCGAAAATGGTGCATTTTATTAAAAACATTGTAGAAAACAAATTTGTAGCTTTTAAAAAGACAAATACAATTCATTTTTTAAAATGTTTTTGCGATATAATAGGAACCGAAATAAAATTTTCAACTATTTATGTAAATGTATAAGAATATATGGTGCCCTTTTATGTTGATACATTTTTTTGTATATAATTCCACTTTTTTCAATTTATATCTATTAAATTAGTTTATAAAAACTACAATGTTGTTAAGGGTGATTTTCAAAAGTTGAAAAATTGCAAAATTTTGTCAAAAAATTGTTTTCACCTATAGCACTCATAACAATTGATTTTTAAGTGTTGAAAATATATGAAATTATATTTTAACGTATAAAAAATCACTATTTAACTAATCCAAACCAAATTTCACTCATCTTGAGATTTGTAATGTTATTTTACAATTTTTGAAAATTAGGGGTAGTTTTTACCCCTAAACACAATCAGGATTCATCGAAATGACATAAACTATAAAGCTGAGGGAGAGTTAAGCTTAATTCCAAATTTTTATGCAAATCTTTCCAAGGCCAAATCATTTTCTTCGCATTACTAATTTTTTTTACATTAATCTCTAACAAGGGTCGCTTTTTAAGGGTTGAAATATGATGGAACTTTATTCAAAAGCACGAAACTAGGATGATTTAATTAATTCAAACCAAATCTTGCCCATATTCAGGTTTAATGTTATTTTATAATTTTTGACAATTAGGGGTAGGTTTCACCCCTTAAACTCTTTGCGCACTTCAGTTCGATATAAATTTTGATCCTTGGGCTATCACCTACCTTCTGTTAAAATTTCAACTCAATCCATGCAGGACGAAAAAATTGCGAGGTTTTAACTTTTTTCGAGCTTCATTTCCTGAACTTTTATCGCTTCCTTAGACAAGCCCTTCTTTGAGCGGTGTTGCCAAACTCATTGTTAAGGTGTTAACCAGAAAATATTTACAGGACAGAAAGGAAATAAGTACAAACTATTAAGTTTATTTTTGTTATTAGTCTGTTGTAGTAGATTGGTAAATACAATGAAAAATATATGCAAATATCCGATTTATTTAAAGATACGAAGAAGATATAACTCTCAAAAAGATCCGCAAATCGGATTATTACAAGGCGATTGGCAACATTGTTACGCAAACAACATTGTTGCGAGACAGATAGTTGAACGATATTTTATACAATGTCTATACCTAGGTATGGATTTATTTTTGTCCAAGTTTTATATTGGTCCACTATTTCAAATGCAGTTCAAACAGACGTTATATTAAATTGTATGATCCGTTTTAAATTCGTTCAATCTGTATACTGTAGCTTGGATAGTCTACTTAAGGTGTTTCCTACTTACTGTTTACTTTCAAGAAAATCGACGCATTTTGATAGAATTCGGAGTTAAAAACTTTGGTATACTAGACTATAGGATCATGTATTCTAGTTTTTCCTAACAATATGATTTTAAATTTTTGTAACTACGTTCTTACAATTGGTTGCAACGATATTATTGGAACGACTTTGTTGCAACTTTTTTTTTTAAATTAGTTGGAATCTTGTAAAATTTTTTCATTCCCATTTTATTTTTTATTCTTTTTTTAATTTTAAGCAGACCGTGCCATTTATCATATTTTAGATTTGTTAATACTTGATAGGACAGAAAAAATTTCGTTTTATTTATTTTTGTTGATATACCTATCAATAATTATTTCGTTAAAAAAATTGAAAATCATAGTTTTTGTTTTTAGATCAGTATGGTGGTAAAGTAGTTAACTCAAATCATCATTTTACAATTGATTGCTCCAATGCTCATAAGGGGCTATTTGCAGGGATATTGGTGAGTTATTCATAGTAATTTGTTTTCAATTTGTTTTTAACTGATTATACTGTAAGAAAAATTCCCACTTATATTCTTGCTTCTCAAATTTAAATGGTCTATACAAACAGAAATATATAATAGATAGAAGCGGTACTACAAAAATTATGCTATGTAAACGTGATTTTCTTTTTGCAATTAGGTTATACTGTAATTTCTATTCCCCTTCAAGCTTTTGTCATTATTTTCGCTTTTTATCGTCATATATTTCATGTCTGTCTTATTATTTTGTCTTATTTTGTCTTATTTTCCTTCACCTTGAGTGATAGCAATCTCTTTCTTATTTTCATGTGTCTTGATTCTATATCAGCATCATCAAACAGCCCTGATTTGTTTATTATTAAACATAGGCAAAATTTTACAAGAACTTGTAATTCCTACTTCATACCTACAAGTTTGTTAGAAAAATATGTTTAAAAAATAAATTATTTTACAATTATAAAATAGGTAAATTTATTTACTAAGACCAATGAGAACGGTAATTTAAAAAAATATGTTCAAGTGTTCAAAATGCTCTCAGTTCACATCCTGACAATGTGTAAGGGAGGATGAGGTATTGTGGATCATAGGCATCAATCATAAGCTTGAAAATAGTTTAACAAATTTTCACTCTTCTTATTTCCATTCTAAAATATAATTAGGTGTGTTGATACCAAGGTGCAAAAGTTTTTTAAAAATTCTATTTTATCCAATTGTTCAGCACATCTTCTTTTTTATTAAGCTCAATTGATCACTATTATCGATGTGTGAGGGACCTTTTTAACGTAAATTTTCTAAATCGATGGATTGAAGATTGAGAATTTATAAGGTGGCCTGCTTGTTCTCCAGACCTTAACTGGTTAGATTTTTTTTTGGCGTTATCTAAAATTACAGGCCAGCATTAGGCCAAAAATATGCTTTCAAGATTTGCTAAATAAATTTTAAATAAACTTTGATCAAATGAAAGGCAGATATCAAGCACAGTATATTAATTAAATCTTGTCCAAGTACTTTCGCTTCCTAGAGCATCGTCAGAGGCATTTCGTCAATTTTGGCCTATCCAACAATTATAGAATATCATAAACATAAATATAAACATAAATATAAAAATAAACATAAATTTTAAATAATACGTGGCGAAGCCTTGGAAAGAGTGACTTACGAATTTATTAATACGCTTACATAGTGTCAGACGGTGAACGACAAACATTTCGAACATTTAAAGTGATCCATATCTCGTTTAAATATATTTTTTTCTACTTAACTTAAAATGTATGAAAATGAATAACAAGGTTTTTTAAAATTTGTAATAATATACAGGGTGTTCCATTTAAACTAAAAAGTTGTGGGTATTTAAGAAAATAATGGATTTATAGTTTTAAAAAATATGGCATCAGGTGCGTTATGTATCTTTGTAGTTGCATGCAAGGTTTAATAAATATGTTTTTTCGTTTCAAAGATATTTACTTGGTTCCATACTTTATCCCAACACTGCATAATAATTAACTTTATTTTATATTTTTTAGGTTATTGTTTTAACTATAATATCGCTTATAATGTTCTTCGTATTTACAAATACTCCAAGACACAGTGAAAACGTGGCAATATTTGAAGTAAATATTGTAGAGTTAATTTTGTACATTGTAACCAGTATTGCTGCACTCATCGCAGCGGTGAAAATGAGAAATTTAAAATACGACCGTAAAATTGGTAAGGATAGTTATATAATTTTAATCATTTCTTATTACCTATTTAAGTAAGCAGCTTCTATAGTACAGAGAAATATGGAAAAAAGTACCCTCCTGAAGACTTTCACCGGGCTGGTTTTCGGACCAGTTTCTTGAGTTTTATGTATCTTAATAATTGTAAACTCTATCTTTCCCGTAGTGGATTCTGTGGATTTTTCAAATTATTAACAATTTAAAGACAAAAATGCACCCTTTTAAGTACCTTCATCTACCATTAAAAAGAAAAGCATTTTAAACGACATTTTATGTAAAGTTGCCTTCATCTATCTATCGTCTGTCGGCAAATTCAAACAAATACCACCTTTAGTCCAGACAAATTAAGATATGTTTTTACCACCAAAAATAATATTTTAAACCAAATAATAGTTCAAATTTAATGTGCAGAATAATTTTGATTTTAGACAAATAGTTTAATTTCTTTTGCTTAATTTTTATTGTCGCTTAATTTTAACAGTACTAATATGCAAGTGTTTATGTTACAATGAGTATTGCGATTGTTAAAATACCGGCAAGAGTCTATCTTTAAACGGACTGGACAAATTTTTTCTTTAGTAGTCTAAGGCTAAGCACATTGAGTGGAGCGACGATAAGAGCTGCGAAGAAAGGGGGGAGATCATCGCGCTTATATAAAAGAGTCGTCATTACATAGTGAAGCGGGTAATAGTGTCAATAAAATAGTGTCAGCTTACGTCAGATCTAATGATCCAATATTGGACGAAGATTTGAGCCTAATCCTTAACTCAGAAGAGCCTACAATAATTATAGAAGACCTGAATGCGAGATCTCCCAACTGGTTCGATAGAGCGACCAACAACAACGGAGGACGACCTGTTTTCACGGACAACTCCCTACGCATCTCGATATTGCAATCCTACACAACGTGGGTCAACAATACGAGATACACTCTCTAAACGAAGGCGATTCGACGCACAATCTAATCGTCCTGACCCTGGGCGCAATAGAATTAAACTATTTGCATCCCCACAACAGAAGGAAGACCAAGAAAGAAGTTGGCCAAACTTTAGAAGAATTGTGAGCGAAAACATCGGAAACATTCCAACAATAAACAACATCACAGAACTAGAGGACAGTGTAACCAAACTAGAACAAACAATAATTAACGCTATCGTTATAAATAACACCCTAAACTGTCTTCTAAAAGCGTAACGTGCAATAATTTGTAATGTAAAAGTTTAAGTTTTGCGTTTTTAGTTATATTTAAAATGCCTCATATTTGTTGCCAAAAATTAAAATCGAAATTTTATGTTATAGGTTTTGAAAAATCGTAAAAAATGACAAAAATAGCGCAAAGTTTATTTATTCAACAGCTTTATACCAACTGACTTTATTTGCAGCAAAATACAAAAAATTAATACGAAAGCTGCACTCTTCACCTTTAAAACGCATTGTGATTGTTGTCGATAGTTGTTTTCCTTATCAAAAGATCAATTTTTTGCCTTTAAGTTGATAATTAAGTAAAATTTTATTGAAAATTGATTTCGTGTCCGTAAAAGATATGCAAAATCGACAGTCGCTTCAAGCGTTGTTTCTGAGAGAACCGTTCATTTTACGTAAAAAGTGTTAATAACCATTTTTGTTCAAAATTATCTCAGCTACATTCTTAGTTTAAAACATTTTTTTTACGGCGAATAGATTCTTGGTAAATCAATTTTTTTGCGTTTTTACCCTCCTACGACGGGAGTTTTAGGGGCCCAGTGGTTAAAGTAGTAAACTTTTTAATTTTTTGTTGGGGTCGCAAAATTGGTATTCTTGGCAAAATTCAGCTTGTCCGTATGATTTTTAGGGGTCAAATCTCTGTCGACTGGACAACTGGTTTAAAATTTATTTAAATTGTTTTTCCCAAACAACTTTTTTGTAATGATACTAGTAAAAAAAAACTTGGACGAACAATGATTCTCCAGATATCATAAACAAGAGAATTTGTTATTTCGTCAAATAAATTTTAAAAAAGTGAAAAAAACCATTTGCAACTTGATCGCAAAAGCATTGCAATTTTTCGCTTTTATACAATGTGCTTTTTCTCGGAAAAAAGTATTATTTTATATTTGAAAAGCTAACATTATTTCAAAAATTGAAAAAAAGAAAAGTTATAATACGATAATTAGAGACAAAGTTAATCCTTTGTTTTGATAAAATCATACATGGTTTGTTTATATCAATTAGAAACCTAATTAGCAGCTTTTGAAAGATCAAGGACTGATGTTTTATAGTACGAACCTTTGAAGTGGATTGCTTTTGAACGGAGTTGTCTATAAAACTTTAAAATGTGGAGCCCCAATCCTTTCGGCTTGGAGTAGTGGAGCGGAAACTTTAAAATCCGCCCTATAAACTACATTTTCACTTCTTTTTGATAGACTTGGACGTTTCTTATTTTAATTTGTACGTACTTTTTGGGTACATTACGAATATGCTTTTTTTTGTCAAAAAATCGTTATTTTAATTTATTTTAAAAATGATTTTCATTTGAAAATGATATTTAACTTTCTGATATCGCGAATTTTAAAAAAGGGACATCCTTGTCCTTAATTATCGTTGGATAATTTTTTAAATTTGTAAAAAAATGCTAATACAAAAAAATAAATTTTTCCAGGAAATAGCAAAAAATATTATTCAAATTATAATTATAAATTTGTCAAAGTTCATAACTAAAACATTTTCTGTTACATATTTAGTTTTGCAGATAAACAGCTTTATTTTTGGTTCCTGAAAAATAGCCAATTTGAAATGTGTACCTTTTTCAACTCACCTATATTGTAATGTGTCTCTGGACAGGAGATCCTGAGATTATCTGACCGCGAGTATTTAACCTCAACCACAAACGGTTGATTACACTTCTGTTAGTGTGGAAGGTCTCAGCAACAACTCTTTGACTTTTGCCAGCTTGAAGCATCCTGATAGCACACCACTGCGTTTTGCGATTTAAATGATGTTTCTCTATTATTATCAATTGTAAAACTAAATGAAAATCCACATAGACGTCGACAATCAAGTATAAATAAAGAAATATTACTTTTTATGTTATAAACACAAAATATTGTTTTTTCATTATATTGTTACGCGTTTCTAATTGATATAAACAAACGCATATTGTTACGCGTTTTGTTAAATTTTTTATAGCCATTCTAATTAGCATTACCGTCCGAGTTAGTACAATAATCGACAAAAAAAAAAAGATTAAACACAAATTTATTTTTATATTTGCAAATTTGATTTGAAGTTATTGGTGTCCCCTAGATTATTTTGATGTGTGTATAACAAATTATTTTTTTCAACAACACAAAGTTTTGCTCTTTACCCCAATTTTTTATATTTCTTTGCCTTTCCTAAGGTCCTCCATAATAACCCAGATTTTTTTTATTGGCTTTGGCTTAAAACCTTTAGCCACGTAATTACATACAGTGTGGAAGCCACTTATGGAATAAAATTGTTTTTGTCCTTATTACAAAAAATAATCAAATACTCTGGGACACTTTAACTTTTAAATTTAAATATGCGCTTTTTAAAGATAAGTTTAAATGTATAGGGTGATCCACGCAATTCTGGCATAGTCCATAATCCTTATTTTTAATGAAACACCCTGTATATTTTTATGTTTTTAAAATACTTTTAACAACGTGATTTCAATGAACTTTATCATGTATATTGGGTAAAATTTCTGTTTAGTAACCGTGTTAACATTTTTTGTCGTGAATAGGTAAAAACTGTATAGATAGTCTGCTAATTAAACTAAATCGGTAAATAATGCGGATTGTTATCAATCAGTTGACATGCTGTTTACATTTTACATTAAAATAATAAATTATTAATTAAAAACTAATTTCTTGCAGAAATAAAAATTAAATATTTAACTAAGGCCTACCGAATTGAGATTTTAATGATGATCGATTACGGAGAGAATTGTAGAAGTCAAGTTGAAGTAGCAAACTTATTTAATCAGAGGTATCCTCAGTTGCCTAATATTTCACAAGGTACTGTGTCTAAAATGTATGCCTAATTCAGAGAACTTATATATGTCAAACCATTAAAAAGAAAATTGAACTTCATTGAATATGAAGTGAAAGTGGATATTTTGTTAAGTGTCGCAGAGAATCCAACGTCAAGTTCAGGTCAAATTGCACGTCAAAATAATATGAGTCACACAACTGTCCTAAGGTGTCTCCATGAAGAAAACTTCATCCATATAAATTGACATTTGTGCAGGAGCAAACAGAAGACGATCCGGATCATAGAATGGATTTCTGCAAAAGAGTGAGGGATAAAATTAACAAATGAAATAGCTCTTGGCACAATTCTTTTTTCTGATAAATCAAAATTTACATTGAACGGAGAGGTAAACTGACAAAACTGTAGATATTGGTCAGCGGAGAATCCTCATTGGATGCGTGAGATACACACTCAGTATTCTCAAAAGTTGAATGTTTGGGCAGGTATTATAGGAGATCATATTATTGGTCCTATATTTATAGATGATAATTTGACAGCGGGAAAATATTTAAACATGCTAAGAGACGATGTTCTTCCTTAGTTGGCTAACTTATATCCCAATCCAATAGATCCGACCCTACCGCATGAAACTGTCTGGTTCCAGCAGGATGGTGCAACACCCCATTATGCTGTAATGGTGAGAAATTACTTGAATGAAATCTTCTTCAATAAGTAGATTTGATGAAGGGGACTAGTGAGTGGCCAGCTAGGTCGCCAGATCTTACGCCTTTTAATTTTTTTGTGGGGTTATCTCAAGAACAAAGTATATGCAACACAATCAACTATCATTGAAGACCTCAAAAAGTAAGGATAACTACAGAAATGCGGAATATTTCACCTCAAACTTTAAACAAAGTTCGGAACGAGTTTTATAGGAGACTGTGTTATTGCCAACAACAAGGTGGAGAACATGTTGAGCATTTATTTTAATGTAATCCAATCAATTACCTCGGGTAT